AAATTAATTTTATTATAAATATAATAAGCGGTACTTTGACAAAACGTGTTATTCATGAATTTGTTTTTGATGAATTATCTTTTAATGAAATGTTTCTCACCAACTATTCTGGGTTCCGATTATAGGTACATCGTTATCATAGAACTATTGCAGAAGGTCTATATACCCATCTCATGGTCTAGACTCGACACTGATGTCTGAGGGAATTTCAATTTCGTGAATTATTAAGTGCATGGAATACACACGCATTATCTATAGGGTATAAACCCTTGTGTGACTTTGAACGTTCGTCAAACGTCTGGTCTGTAGGTACGACGTAGTTACTATATTTTATCTTAATACTGTGGACACGCTTTTAATCGAATATCGAGAGATTGAGAGATTTACTTGCTGTAATTATTACACATAAATGCAAACACACGCACACACAATTATAACACGATTGGGATGAATTATCGGGGTTTCTGAGTGTCATTCAGAGCTACCTACATTTTGTTGACAGTTAGAAATTAAAAATTTATGATTATTAAGCAAATCGCTATAAAATAATTCAATATTTAATAACAAGATAAAATAAAATAATATGTAAGATAGATAATCCTAAGATTGGTATAAATTTAAACCCTTGTATTATCAAATATTCCATCAATTATTTTTAATTGCTTATGATTTCAGATTTTATGACTTTGATTAATTATTACGATTAACTAGTGTGTGATTCTAAATGATTGAGTGATTTTAACTAAATATTTGTTTTATTGATATTTGATACATATTAGTATGTGCAGTATTGGATGGTTTGATTTTTGGGAAAATTTTGTGGTACAAATTTATTAAAATATGCATTTTTGAACAACAATATTTTTTTTTTTAAATATTTGGTTATGACGACTGCCGAAAATTTCTATACATGATATATATATATATACGAAATTATTATTATTTATAAATTATATGACGGATCTGGTTGTAAACACGAAGTGCTTTTAATTGTTACTACATATCATAATAATATAGGTAAAACATATAGGTATAGTATATTATTCACTAACGATCTATACGTCAGAGTAATAGTTTCATTGCAAATCGCATACTTAATAATATCACTTAAGTATTATAAATTATTACGTTAATCATAATAGTTGTAATGCTAAATATTGTGTTATATGTGGGCATCAGCATGTTATTGTATAGAAAGTCACGCGGGAACGAATGATATAGGTACTACTTTGACCGATAAAATATCAACCGATTTATATTTTGTTTTCATATGAACTTCGAATACAGCATAAACTAAACTAAATCGAACTCGTACGATAAATTCTAACTTTGGCAATGGTGTTTTGAAAAAACTGAAAATTAACATTTCACATTAATTCATAATTGTATTATTCCATACTCGGTGCTCAGTTTTATGATGGTTTAATAACTGTCATTTGTTAACTTGAAGTATAATAAATTATTACTTTGCGTTAAAAAAAAATAAAATAAAAACTCCATTAAAGTTAATAATAACGATCGACTAAAAGTGATTTCACGTTTTTATATTGGCTTAATATTTTATTTAACTTCGTACTTTTGTGTATACGATTATTGATATTTTGATTCTTAAATAAGTTTGGTAAGGATTCGTTTGACACACATCCCATACATTATAATGTAAGCATTATATTATTACACGTCATTGTAAGCATCATATAATATTATATTTTGTATTTTTCGGTAGACAACCTCTATGAAAAAAAAAAAAAAAATGGATTTACTTTTTACCCGTAGGTATCTACATGATACGATTTACATTATTTTTAGGTTTTGATGACTGTACATCAAACTCGATTTGCATTTAGAGTTTTGAAAAATAAATTTTATCGTTTGCGCTTTGTTGCATAAATAGAGATCCATAAAAGAATGAAATTTGAATTTCTTCGTTCATTCAATTATACTAGCACTAAACCGTCTCGTGAGGAGTGAAGACTAGTAATGAAACCAGACTTTGTTTTTTGAATGGTGTGGAGGGGGTCATACAGAGAAGAGTACGTTATTTATTTTTATTCTATAATACGTTTAAACGAATTGAGTATTAAAAAATAAGTATGTACACACAACTACGTGAGTATTACGTTTGACAAGCAGTTTATTTTTGAAATTGAAGAGGAACAAAATGTATAATTAAACTTCGAGAATCTTGTATTATAACAGAGAAGTTGATATTCTGTTTTATATCTTAGAAAAAATATTACAATAGATGTAAGTGTTTAGAGAACGTTTTCATTTTTTATCATTATATACCGTCAAATTCCTGGTGTGCAACTGTAAACATTAACTAATTTATATGATTATTTTCAATACGTATTTAAGTTTTTCTAATATATAACGCAGCATAAATGCTTATGCATACATGTTTATAATAAATGATCTTAATAAGATACAATTTTGAAATTCAAACAAATATATTACATAATTAATATGGGTTGTAATATCTATAGATAATAATAAAAAAATGTAATAACTTAAATTTTTATAAAACACAATCGATAGTTAAACAGATGTTCAATTGTCTACTATCTACGTTTTCACAACAATTTAATACGTTTTTTGTCGTTTATAATAATATTTACGATTACGATCATATTATTGTACATTGAAAAATCAACGTTAACTAATTACTAATTAGACCAGTCGGCATTTACAATTATTTGTGAAATAATAATATTATATAATTATATCTCATTACTATGATGTCTATAATAACAATTTCGGACTATATTAATCGTCAATCTCACAATATAGTTTATTAAAACTAGTTACATATTTAGATACAATACATGATAAATATATTTTTAAAATTCCATTAAATAAATATATTTCTTATAAAAATGATAAAATAAAATGTTTGAAATTTAAACGAAAATTAAAATTAAACAGTATTATACAGCAGTAATGAAAATATATTATAAACATGGTTGGAACTATTATTTCAGTCCACACATTGTGTACATTATGCATAATAAAATACCAAAAATACATACAAGACCAGATAGAACACGCCATATCTCACATAACTCTAGTTTTTAACTACCTAATAATTCAGAGAAATTGAACACGAAAATCGATGTATATTTAAATGTTTAAAGCAAACAAATAAAGTTAATTAAAAATAAAAACGTAGTGAGTTTGACCCGAAGAAATTACATTGAAAACAACACAAAACTTTAAAAAAAGTTTATAACCAAAAAAAAAAAAAAAACATTAAGGTATACATTAAAACTATAACTTAAAAACCAATATTAGGAAAGTAGCGTCTTTTGATTAGGTATAATAAATCATAAAGTGTAATGTAATCAACTTAAATATAATATTACATAATGTAAGTAAAATATGTCAATATTAGATAATATACACACCACAACGTCGGAATTATGTTAATTTATTTCTTCTTTCCATTGACCAATATTCTTTAGATTAATAAACTGTGTATACATAATTTATGAATACAATACATTAGGAGTCTTTATTTTCAATTTTTTTTATTATTCATTATTTTATAGTCACGCCCTTTAAAATTGTTTAGGTTTTTAAGAAATTAAAATAGGTTCAGTTCAATAGTAATTAGTTAATAGGTACTTAAACTCTTTTATACTCAGATGCTTTTATTCTAAATCGTTCGGATAAAATAATAATTCAGAACGGTAAGACGCATTGAAAATTTTTTATTCTGTAATATAATATATATATGATAAGATTTTGTAATTAAAATTATTATTATTATTATTCTGTAGTTCACAAAAAAATGATTGTAAATACTGACGACAATATTATTCTACTGATATTCGTATATTATGTAGGTTTGTTTTGCATTATACGCCCGTAACCGTAAATAATACAATATTACCATGAAAAACGAATTAAAAAAAAAAAAACACTATTCAATTGTACCGTCGATGGTGGAAAAGATTTGTTGTGATCTACCAACAGTTGGCTGATTAAAAATAATTGGAAATGGCATACCCGTGGTTGTATGGTCACCACGAGTGACTATGAAAACACCGTTGTTGGGCGTTTGTAGTAATCACTTGGGTACAAATGACATTGTGTACAAGTGAAATATTTCTTTGAAAATTATATAATGCAATTTTTTATGTTCAATTAAAAAAAAAAAAGTATATTATTGTAATATGTCTCTTATTAAAATTCAATCTATTTCCAATATAATACAATTTTAATGATTTTGAATGATCTATAATTAAATCCTATATAATGAACTTATTAATGCACGCAATTTTATCTACGACTATCATCTGTATTTCATAGTCATATTATAGCGTATATTTTAAATTTGCGATCAGAATGATTATATATACTTAACGTGACTATATTTTCGCTGTCCCTAAAGAACCCAAAAATATCTTGCTTTGAAAAAATGATCTGTTACATTTTATTCCATTAAAAAAGAACACATATTTTTTTACGACAAACAAAAACATCATATTGATATATATGTTAATTATTACATAAATACATTGATATACATAAACATTTTATACTGTAAACGGTAAATTTCCATAGACCATAAATAAAAATGATACAAAAATAGGTATCAAATTGAAGTAAAAAGTTATTTTGGTTTGTTAAAGTATTAAAACGAAAAGGTTTCCCGCTTAAGTAAAAATAAAAAATATGGATATAAGCTATATATACTACACTATCCATCCAATAGGCTACAAAAATTTCGATTAAAATTTTCAGTTTATGATAGGCATAATTAATATTTTCAAGGAAACAGTAAACAGCAACTTTGCTAAGTAGATTTAAATATGTTTATATTCGTATAAAATGCAAAAATACACTTCTTTGAATAACAGTTATAATCTATTTGTAGATAATGAATAATAAAAATAATATTAAGAAAGAATATAAATATTTAATTCGCTTGTACGGGTTCGGCTTGACTAATCAAATGTTTTATGTACTTTCCTTTGTTATAATTTGATTGTAACAAAATGAATAACACTGATTGTTTCAGGTATTATTTGATACTTAATTTTTCCCGAAAATACATTAATTATTATATATATAATATTCACAATATTTTCTTTTTTTTTTTTTATAAATTATCGTTGACTTACAGAAAAAAAGAACATATAAAAACACAGAACATATGATTGTTTTATTATTTTTACTTGTTAGATTAACTAGTCCATTCTTCTTGAAATGTCGATATATGGTGGCGTTGTATGACAGTTTTAATAGTGCGCCCGACAGCACTACAGTATTTGTTTTTGCTACTCGGGTGTTAATACGTGAATTTTGTATTCCACGAGTAGCAAAGACGATACACAGAGGGTTCTATTCGGTTCACTCTCTGTGTAGGGGCGTTAATACAAATGAATCGTATTCCACATATACGAAGAGGAGAAATGATAGAGGAGGTAGAAATGACTGGAGTGTAACGGTTTGCTATTACGACGGTGAATTACAATTACGTATGCGGTTTACTCGATTATGACGGCAGGAATACACTTTGACTGTGGTAGCTGCTGGAACGAGTATCAAAGTCACAAGGAGTTAATATTAAAATTTCGTATTCCACTTTTTTGGATTTGTTCTCATCTAGCTAACTACAGCGTGGTGGTCCGAATCAATTTCTGTTGTCGATCTGGCCTTTATATTATAGATATCTGTGGCTTCAGTGCTAGTTGACTGTTTTATGCTTGTTTTATTTTTATTTTAATGTGGTAGTCGCGGACAGCGATCTTTATTATCCGTGGTTTTGCGCGCAACGCGTATATGGTAAAGATACTATATTATTATTATCAATGTGATGATTTATTATTGTAACATGATATTGAAAAAAAGTTTATGGACTCTTGTGGTCTGGTCCGCGCATATAATATTTAATAATATAGCCATTACATTAGAAATAGCTAAATAAACAATACAACGAGTGAGACCAGGTCAATGGTGACGAGTTTAGTCGCTTCTCCGAATATACGATTGATATTTATTACTCTTGGGATTTCTTATTGATATACCGGAAATCAGTCGATATTTTCTATATTTTATAACTGGAATTTCCATAATATCATGACAGTGAGTGACATTCTACGGTTTCTACTTTCAGCATTTATTCAGCGTAAAGAAACAACCTGCGCGTGTGCGCACTTTACCACATGCACACAAACCGTTTTTAATACGTTTCCGTAAAATAATATCTAGTCCTTATATTATTATGTGACACATTTACGCGAGAATTTATATAGTACATATTAGAAAATATAACATAGAAAGAACCAAAAGGGTTTCAATGTGCAGGAGCGAATAACAATTTGTCGATAAGGCTGCAGTGCACATCGTGCACAACGCCGGAAACGGTAAAATGGAAGAACGGGCTGGATATTTAATCCTGCGAAACCGTATATAGGAGGACATCAATCATAATTTTCATGAACGACGAGATGTATTAATGATTTTTATATTTCATGGTCTGACAACCGTGTGTTTCGCCCCGTTCAAACTAATACACGCGTGAGATTTCGAAAAAACGAAAATTGATTTCACGGGTCGTTGAAGATGATTATGCGTCGTTTTTTTTTTTATATACATACCTACCCTACTCGATCGTCATATTGTTGCTTTTCGGCTGGGTCGGGAAAAATACAAAAAAATAAAACAAAAGTTATAATTTATAATAATGAACAACTCGTGCGAGGGGGAAAACTGCCTAATAATCGAGAAACCTTTCCTCCAACCGAAACCGAATCGTGATATATTATTACCAGAAGCTCCCAGAACAATCGGCATGTTTTTTTTGTTTAATTGTATGTGTACACATTTTTAAAATTTACGTTATAAATATTTATTACAAAAACTGTTGAATCAGCAGACGTTTATGAATGTTTTTTTCGGTGCAAAAACTGGTCGGGAGATAAAAGGACATGTAATAATCCTATAGTAACTAAAATAAAAGGCTTGAAACATATCTACAGTTAGATACTCAGATTTGTTATCAGTGAATAAAAAAAGTTTCACGTGTTGGCGTTTTATAAATGTATAATAATGAAGGCAATGTCGGTATAAGGTATTTAGTTTGTTCGAAAGATGAGCAGCTTAATATGACTTGATAGCATAATTATAATTGTTTTTATAGAAATTCGATATTATCATCGCAGGCTGTAGAATCTAATGCATGTTATGAATCGTACCAAGTGTCTACCCGCAAAAAAAATATTAAATGAACTGATATCATTATTTTTTTATATGGTAATTACGATCATCAATCTGTACGTTTAGGTTATGTACCTATGCACTATGCATTTAAGATTTTTAACGATATCGTTTCTGCCCTGACACGCGACACCTTACAATAATAACCGTGGTATGCTGAACACGCAACGTAGAATTTGAAATTTTGTAGAAAATCTGAATTATAAAGTATAATTACCTATTAAAATAAGATACCAGGAATATGCACTCACTATATTGGTGCCGCTTTGTTGCCTATTCAGATTGTGATGATATAGATTAGAATCGATAGGGGCATCCTTAGATAGATCTCAAGAAGGTAGCGAATTTATTTTTTAAAACAATAATTAGTGTAAAATTATTTTCAAAATTTTGGGAGAATTAAGTCAATTTTACTACACTAATTTTTATATATAAAAGTGTTTTAAAGGGGGGTAGGATGAATGCCCCTTTATGCTCTTCTCCTTGCAGGGTACGCGCCTGAGCACTGATAATGGTGTGAGAAAGAAGTCCGGAGACTAACATTGTTATAAAAAGATAGTATTAACTTTAGGTCTCATCAAATAGGTACTAGGTATTTGTTTCTAACAATGTTATTACCTGGCAACCTGTCGTATAGGGTTTAGGGAACACGCAGTCCATATTATATTTATCAATGGTTATACAGTACTTATTTATTATTTAAATTAAATAAATATTATGGCATTTGAAATGCGATTTAACTATAATTTTGAGATATCGAAATTATTAACTTTGAAATAGATCATTTCGTTACCTATATATTATGTAAGACGATTATTCCGAGTGACCAGTGAATTCGATCAAATATTCATTAAATAATATTATTATCTGTAACGATACGGACAACGGCAATGATGACAGCCGTTGTTCAACGCCATCTTGACCTTATAATCCGATTTTACGTGTTAAAAAAAAAAAAATAAATAAATAAAAATTATATAAAAAAAAAAAAAAAAAAAAACCGTAACTTTTAAAATACATATTATAATCGTTTCTCATTTTTATCCATTTTTCCGGCCATAGTAGGCTTGCGTTTTCACGAGTGCTATTCGTCTACAGTACGCGCCCACACACACGACGCATTACAAGCCACACGAAAACACAAACACACACTCGCTGCACACTTGTCGCGTTACTACACCTACGACAGCACCACTAGCAGCTGTGAATATACGTATTATGATTATGATACAACGCCATAGACGATAATGATATTATATATATATATATATATATATTTATATGTATATGGGCGTGTGATTATACGCGTATTGGTATTGGTTTATTGTACCGCATATATGGTTTTCGCAAATCCGCGACCGATTGCACTTCTTACTCACCCGGCCCGGTGTATAATTTCACGCCGTTTATCCGACGTCACACCCGGCGAAATTAATTTGCAAATTTCGTCATATGTGCGCGGCATGACCCGCGTCTCGAGTAATCGGCTTACTGGGTTTTATCCCCGGCCGAACAACCGTGCGGAACGCCCCACTTCCCGTCATCTGACCCGTGTCCTCCGAGCACCACACGCACGCGCTGCTTGCAAATTCCTCCGCAATCCACCGGAAACGACGTCCGTCCTTCATCCCGTTACCCTTCCACGCACGTCCGGACGTTATTGCGGTATAATACACGTACGATATAATATACGTCATATCATAATATTATATACTGATGATGCACTATACGCGCGTGTACGGTACGATGACATTGTGAGTTGTTCTTGTTACAATAATAATTATTATTATAATTCCGATCTACAATATTATTATTTGCTTACGTTTAGAAATACTGCGATGACGTTAACACACCGCATAATATGCTTATGTATAGTCGTATAGATAATAGATTTTGTCGTCATGTAGCACATCGTATTACGTCGTATGTCGAACGGCGGTTTAGGCGACGGTGAACCTTATAATATTTTAATATATAGGTTTATGGTAATAATAATATGATATAAGATGACGTTAATATCTCTCTAAACGTCGCCAAACGCGTAGGTTTAAGTGACTACGAGGCAGTGAAAAAAAATGAAAAATGTAACGCACTACCGTTGAACTCAGTCAGAAATCGGATGTTTTATAATTGTATTTCTTGCACGAGGATTTTTTAAGAATTTTAAGAGAATTTTAAGAGTACCGCTGCCGGTGTCGGCGGGACCATGTGATATAGACTTTGATAAATTCTCACGGCTTTCACACAGCTAACTTTTTTATTTCATAATTTTTTACCATATACCTATATATTATGTAAATATTTTCTTTTTCAACGTCCATATCATATTTTGTGTACACTTGTATGGTGGTTTTACATTTACCATCTACCTAATATGTCACGTGTCTACCAAGCATAGGCATAATGTCCGTCATAATATACAGAGTATTATTAATCGTGCATGAGTACACCATGCATAATTCCAACAGCAGACGTACTCAAATTTCCGTGTATAATTATTATTATTATCACCATCTAAGATAATCGTATGAGACTACACTGTTGATGAACTAGCGCCACTGTTAAACTTTCATAGTTGTATGTGTTAATTGTTTTTTGTATACACATAGTCATTGTGTAACGAACAGAATGATTATGATAACAATAAAACAACTCTTATTTCGATATCTCCGCTAGTTTTTTGAAAATCACTCACACGTGTAATGTAAATTACACACTTTTAGTATCACTTCGTTGCTCCCTCAATGCTATACGTAAGTCTCTTCGATACGGTGTTCTCGAGTTTGCAAAAATATTGTAAGCTTCTATCCGACTATAAACTTTAAAAGTTTTATTCGAGGAAAGTTGTTAGATTTTTAATTATCTTAAAAAAGAATTATAAATACAATTGTTCATATTTGAAAAAAAATTATAAAAACAAAAATCATAGTTTTTTATGAGTTTTTGTAAAAATTTTAAACATAAAAATGCTATGAATTGAAATTATTATGTATTTCTAATCATTGTATCACAGCATAAGTTAAAAATCGTGAAATAGGGTTTCTTAATATTAAATATCCCATGATCATGATATTGTGAACTTAATATAATATGATGTATAGAATACCATATAGTTTGACAACGAGGTCACGACCGGCAGCTCAGCCCTATTTAATAAATATATTGCATGTAGGTATGTAGGCATATTATACTGTATACTAGACATATTTTTTTATAACGTTGATTCTATGTATAACGTATATCGCGTTCTGTTCCATAT